CACGAGCCAGACGCCTGTGATTGCTGCTCTGCCCGCCTCCATTACCATAATTACTGATTACACCCACCTGGGCTTTGGAGGCTGCGAGCCACCACTGGGCCTCCTTCTGCCCCATCCAATTACTCCCACTGATCTCAGAGTTCTCAGGGTTCCACGTAAGGCCTGAGAAGAGCAACCAGCACTTCAGGAGTGGTGGATCTCTTCTCCAGAATCCATTTCCGAGAGTACTGGTGGGAAGTTCATCTTTTGGACCGTCCCAGGATGGGCGGTGAGGTTTAAGTGGGAGATCTGCCTGCCCCTCTGGAATTCCAATCTTTCCAGCTGCCGACTCTTTCCTCCATTAAACCCAGGGAGATTTGGCATCTCCTTTCCAACACAGAGTGCCAGCTTTTCATGTTTCAGCCAGCCAGCCAACCTGTTAGCGTCCTTCATAACTCTCAGAACTGCAATGCTAAATGAAAACTCTCAGCACCGATCAGTTCAGCAGACCCAACTCTGTGCCCCCTGCCACCATGGCCCCATACCCACAAAGTCCATCCCCATAGGCTTGTGGGTTCTTTCCAGCGAACATAAGTTGTTCTGGAGGGCAGGTCACCTTGCACAGGTAAGGTGACCCAAAGGGCAAGAGCCTTTGCTCCTTAGGGATGGGGTGAGAAGCAGACACAGATGTTCACAAGATAGGGGCACTATGATATTTAGTTTGCCTGGTCAACTTAATGGGATTTAGACTCACCTAGGAGACGCCCCTCTGGGGGTGCCGTGAGGGTATTTCAAGAGAGGTATAGCTGAGGCGGGAAACCCACCTTGAGTGTGAGTGGCAGTGTCTGGGATGCTCCTGGGCTGAAGAAATACGAGAAAGTGAGCTGAGTCCCAGCATCGTCTTTGCCTGTTTTCTGACTGTGACCACCACAGGACCAGACACCTCAGGCTTCTGCGCCACACCTTCCCCAAAATGACGAAATAACCCTTTCTTTAAGCTGCTTTTGTCCGGTATTCTGTCTTAGCAACAAGAAAAGTAACTCAGAAAGCTTAACCAAGGTGGCCCAAAACATAGCCAGCAGCTTCAGGTAACCTGGTAAGCAGGGTTCACAGTGAGGGGCAGACTGGAGACTTTGTCACGGGCAGGGCCCTCCAACCTTGAGTCGCTGGAGTCCCACTCTGTTGTCCTTTTCTGGGTGTGAGGTCACATCCCAATCTCCTCCACACTTAGCCCCGGCGGCCCAGAGCTCCCCTTCTTTTCCCGGGCGTTGCATGGAGGAAGCAGAGGCCCTCAGAACCCCTCCATTCACGGACGGCACTGCCAGCTGAAGAGCTAAGCTTGGGTTGAGGTCTGGTCCAGAATTTGTTGACAAATCATTTCTCTTACCCTGACGCCGCCCGAGCCCGCCATGACCCCCGGCACCAGCATTGCACAAGGCCTGGGCCTCCACAGCAGGCAGAGCTGGCTGTGCCTCAGCGGCTTCTCTTGCCCAACTCTTCAGGGAGGCCAAGGGAGCCTAAGCCGATGTGGTTTGCCTCATGACCCTCGGACTCATTCTTTTTAATATTAGGCAACGCACAGAACATTTACAAGGCTAAATAAGCAAGATGCGGCCCAGAGGATCTGAAGAGTGGCACCAAGCTGGGAGGCCGTGACTGGCTGCGCAGTCAGTCCTCTTGACCAGAATATAGGTAAGTGTCAATGTCACCTTCACACTGACCCAAATCTTACCCGCATAAGGAGTGACACGGTGTCTTATAAAACCGATTCTCCCCCTAAGTTAGTCTTAAAAGGTAGCTACAGGTAAACTGACAACATAGTTCTCTCCCCCTTAAGTTAGTCTTAAAAGGTAGCTACAGGTAAACTGACAACATAGTTCTGCTTCAGAATATCCCAACATGTATGTATACATGCACATGCTCATACGGGCATCCATGTAGGTGCCTGTGTTGGTCCTTGAAACTGGCAAGGGAATGTGGGGACCTATTCAGTATATTCTCCTTTCCACTGATGCATGCTTGGATTTTTTATTTTTATAACAACAAAAAAATCATTAAAAAAAATTAACAAGGTGTCAAGATGTTTCAGCAGACAAGGCTAGCTACACAGGCTTGACAGCCTGAGTTTGATCCCCAGCACCTACATAAAGTAGAGAGAAGAGATTCTCCAAGGTTGTCCTCTGACCTCTGCACACACACACACACACCATATACACATAAACATGCAATAATAAAAACTGTAAAAGTTAACACAAACTTGCTGAGGGGACAGGAAAGGCAGAAGAGGGAGACGCCATTCTGGTGACTAAAGTCTGGACTGGAATTTTGACCTCACCATTCAACGGCAAACAGATCTTGACTACGTAACCTGCCAGCTGGGGCAAAGAGGGATGGAAGGAGAAAGAGCCCACAGTCCAGGGCTCCCAGGAAGTGTAGACACATTAACGTGTGAAAGGCATCAATCAGAGTACCAGGACATCGCTCAAGCCACTGCCCACCAAGAGTAAGACAAAGGCTCGTATCAGAGCCCTGGCAGCATTGGCATCACTCAGACTCTCCGATGGAGAGGATGCCAGTGGGGGAAAAGGGTGCACGGAAAGCCCTAGATGTCAGACAGCCATGTGCTCTGAGCTCACTGACCTGGCCTGCAGTGAATGCAGGGTCTGTGCACTTACACCTAGACAGACTGAGGCACACCTGTCATGCGTTGTACACCCATAACGCGAGAATGAATCAATTCACGCATACCGGCCACACCCTGTTTCCGAAAGGGAGTGGGTGTGAAATTCCTAGACTAAACTTGGAACTTGGTGAGAAGCAAAGACTTGGCTAAAGTGAAGATACCTCTGCCTGCAAGCTTCATCTGCCCAGGAAGGAGAAGATGGCAGGTTCTAGAAGGGTGCACCCACATCTCCGTGAGCAGCAGCACCTCCTAGGAGCAAGGAGAATTCAACATCTATGCTGACTCCGAGGGGCCCAGTTTTACGCAGTAGCCGTGAAGAACCCATTGAAGGGTGTGTCCACCTGGCTGACACAACCTCACACTCAGGGAGCCTCATTTACCCCCTAAGTGACCTCACCCAGGGCCCCAGGCAAGACAACTCCTTCCTGAGACTCTAGCAGCTGTGGCTTCTCCCCAGGGCTTGGTCTGGATGATTTAAGTGGGATCTAGGCTAAGTCAGAAAAAGACTTGTAAAGTTTCTGGCCTCAGCAACTCCACACCTCCCATCCAGATAACCTCCATCTACTGGAAGAGCTCCCTGCAGAAATGGTTCAAATGATCTAATCCAGTTCATCACTCCGCAGCTGCCTGGCCTATGACCTCAGTGCCGGGGACACTAACCAACAACAGCCAGGACAGGACTTGGAGCCTGGAGCCTGGTCCATAGCCCTTTGGGTAAGCCACCCAACCTCTCCACTGGGCTTCCACTGGGAAAGGGCTGGTCTAGCTGGATATTCTCTAAGTGATGTAGTGTTTTCCCCGACTCCATGATTCCTTCTGTCTGTGCCACTAATGTTGGCGTAATGATTTCTACCTCCCAGGGATGGAAGTTAGAAAAGCCGTCTACTCTCCTCAGATCTAACAAATACAAAGAAAGCTAACTCCCTCCAGGCCATCCTACCTCAGTGTGTACACACACACACACACACACGCACACACACGCACACACACACACACCTTCAAGGACACCAAGCCTTCGCATGGGGGACAGCCAGCACTGTTCCTATAAACACCTGTTAGAACTCAGCTCATGAGCAGCTTCTGATGCTACTAACTAGAGTATTTAATTAAATATTACTCACTCAGGAAGCAGCCTCTGCCAGCTCACCACCACACTGCACAGTTTACTTTCAGAGAAAAAGAGAGGAAGAGAGAAAGAAGAGCCAGAGCCCTGGTCAGATGGCACTCACAGGGGCTTCCCTGGATGGGTGCCAGCTAACGCTCCAGCAATACCCCACTTACCAGAACCAAACAAGCAAGGGGATCACACTCCACAGCCTGGAGAGCCAAAGGCCAGCCCCACTGGTTACCCCAGATGGCACACGCGCGCGCACACACACACAGAGCACATGCTCATGCCACAGAAATATGTGAACACACAAGAACATTTAGAAAACACATATTCACAAGGATACACTGACAGACACTCACACAAACACACGAGGACGCACGCCCATACTCAAAAGCACACAACTTCCTGGCCGGCCAGCATCTTTAAAGGCAACATTTGACGAACATTCAGAGCCTTTGACATCGCACATTGGTAAACTTGGAAACTAACGACTCTTTACACACTCAGCAGGAGCGGGGCAATCCATCCCGCTGCTCCACCAGCGACTCAGGCTGCTCCTGTTTCTCTGTTTCCATCGATTTCCTGACATAACCTCGGTTGCCGGGAGAAGCATCGGCGGCTCCGGGGTGGCTGGCGCCGAGCGCAGTGACACCAGGCGGTCTCCCATAGAGAGGCGCTACGGGGCCGCAGCAAGAGGGGGACCGGGACAGTGGTAACCGCTGCAAATAAGAACCCAGACTGGCGGGAAAAGCGAAACTAACTCAGCAGGGTCGCGATGCTCGGTGCAGAAAGGGTCCACTCTACTTGGGCAACCAAAGTCAGCCTCGAGAACAGAACCCTAGGGCGCCCGGAGATTATCGCGCCCCAGGCTTCTTTCCGTTCAGCAGCCGCCGCTGCGGCTCATCCCACGGCGCGACAGTCCCCGCTCCACTGAGGCCCCCGCCCAGTGCCGCCCCCGCAGGTGGGACCCTGGAGCCTCCAGGAGCCGCCCTCAGCAGCACAGGCAGCAGCGCGCTGGGCGGCGCCCGGCCCCTCTCCAGGGACCCACAGCGAACAGGGCTCCAGAGCCAGCGCTTCGCGCCGGGTGCCCACCCTATACCCACGCTCTGCCCCGCGCCCACCCTCTCAGTTCCCACAGCGCGGCGGTCCCCACGTTGCCTCCTCCTCGGGTCCCAGAGGCCCACCGCGCGCCCACCCACCCGGTCTTCGGAGTCCCGCGCCACCTACCGTGCAGAGAGGCCGCAACCCCTGGAGCTCTGGACGCTCGCGGGGCTCCGGGCCGCGCCCGCTGCTGCAGAGAGCGAAATCGTTTCCTTCCCGCGGCCCCGGCGCCAGCGCCTGGAGCTGGTTACTGCAGCAAGCGCGCGGGCCGCTCGAGCGCGACTCGTGCACTGAGAAGAAAAACCAACCGACCGCTCTAAAGTGGGGGGTGGAGGGACAGAGGGACGTGCCAGGGGCGGGGTTTGTACGCCCTGCCACGCCCCTTGTCGAGTCCCTTACACCACGCCCTCCCTCGGGTTACGCCCTTTACCCCCGCCCTCTCGCCTCCTGCCAGCCACGCCCATGCCGTGCCCCGCCCCTTCTCCCTGCCACGCCCTTCTACTCTCCCGGCCAGGTCGTGGGTTTCCCAGCGCTGAGCGCTGCGAGGCGCCCGAGAGCGCAGGGCGCACAGGGTGCTGAGGCGGGGCGGGGCGGGACGGCGGGCGGGCGAGCTCTGCAGCCCCCGCCCCCGCCCTCCTGCGGAGGCTCCCGGGGGTGGTGGAGGCTGCAGCCAGGCATCTCTGCCCTGGCGTCGGCAGCAACAGCTTCCATCCCTCTGGAGGAGTTTTTGAGAAAGGCTGGGCCTGAAGCCGGGATTGTAATAACGGAAAGCCTGCGGAGGGCTGCTGTAGTGCCAGGCCCTGCATTGGGGAGTGGAGGTTCATTCATGGGGGCGGGGGCACGTTTGGCAGGGTGAGGTTAAAACAATAATCACAGGAGCAAAACCCTGCTTAATTCGTTTGAAACTCTGAGATTTTTTTTTTTTTTTAAATTTTAGAGGCTGGGTTTCTCTGTGTAGCCCTGGCTGTCCTGGAAATCACTCTGTAGACCATGCTGGCCTCGAACTCACAGAGATCCACCTGCCTCTGCCTCCCAAGTGCTGAGATTATGCGCACGCCACCACAGCCCTAAACTCCGAGTTTTAAGGTTCTGTAATGCCTACGTGCAAAGGGGCAGTATATAAATTAATTCGTAATTCGACTGGACTGTTCTTACTCTTTCTGCACCCATCGGGCCAGGCAGGCATCTTAAGACTTCCAAACCCCCAGGGGCTGGTTTCATGGGTATCCACAGTACCCCTAGCTTAGGACCGCATGAGCGACAGGCAGTCTCCACCTTTATGAACCTCTAGTCTGGGAATCTTTCTTTCCCTCACTGCACAAGAGAGTGGTCACAGGTGACTGGGGGGATTTCACATTCCTGTCTGGACGAAATCCCCCACTCTTCACCTGTGGGTGGTAGGGAATGCCAGAGGAGGTGCTATAAATACTGTGGCCACTCTCGTTATTCAATCACGGTAAAGATGCAACCCTAAGGGCAGAGGAATTATGTTGCAGGTAAGTTTAGTTTTGTTTGAAAACCACAGATGCTTCCACCTGCTATGGACAAGGTGGGCCTGCAGGGGAAAATGTGGCCGCTCTGGGGCCCTATAGGTTTAAGTCCACAGCTATTTAGGGGGGCAGCCTTGTCGGTGCCTCGGGGGTGTTTGCCCTTGGCTGATCATCATGGCTCTCTCCCATCAGCCCTTTCACAGTTTGAAGACTTGTAGCATTCTGGAGTGATCACAGCAGCCACGGACCTCCTCCAGCATGGGAGGACAGCCACACACCAGGGGCCCACATACGTTCAGGTTCCCCAAAAAGTATTCTTCCAGGCCTTGCCTTTTGCCTGGGGGACAGTTTCCAGGACAGACTGGGGGCACATTTCAAATGATTAGAATGGCCCCAAGAACGAGTTCTCAAAAGTCTTGAACTCTTAAGTTCAGATCCTGTTGGGTACCTAGGTACTGATAGTCTTCTTCCCCCGGCCCCCCGAACACCGGGAAGGTAGGCTAGATGTCAGATGCTAAGTCATGCAGCAGTGACCCCGGTGACTGAGAGCCAGCACTATTGCAGACTCCTCAAGGCCGGACTGTGAGGAGTAACAGGACGGAATGCTATTGTTTGCTGCAAAGTCCTGTTCTCGCAACAGTGTAACACCAGCTGATAAACGCCGTTGGAAGGTCAGCTGATGAATGCTTGAAGCCTGAGTCAGGCCTGTGATCCACGGGGAGGAGATTCCCAGTTCTGCCCTCCCACACCCACTCCACATCTTTGTATCATGGACACTGCGGTAGAGTTTGCTCACTTCTTTAATCCTGAGGAAATGATAAGACTGATCACTAGGGAACAAACCTGCACCGGCTTGCTTTTTCTGATGATGGTTCGAGGTCTAGCTTGAGATGTCTTGGACAGTTGGGGTCAGAAGGGAAGAATCCTGCTGTTCTTAAAAGACCATGGGCTCCCATCTTCTCCGAGGTCCTTGGGAATAGGAGTAGCCAAGTGTAAAACTCCAACTCTGTCGTTTACCCACTGAGTGTCCATGACCAAGATACTAAACCTATGGGGATTGTTTGTTTTGAGGGTAACTTTGGGTGCTTGCTGGTGTATGGAAATGTGGGTACCAATGTACCACAGCATGCGTGTGGAGGTCAGGACAACCTCAGGCATCGGTCCTCACCTTCCACCTCATCTGAGACAAGGGTCTCTTACTTGCTTCTACATACACCAGGCTAACTTGGGGTTACAACTTGTGTTTCAAATCAGGCCAGCCACCTGTCTTCAATAAGCCAATTAACAGAGCCAAATTAAACATGGGAAGCAGAAAAAGAAGATGTATCCATATGGTTGCACTGGGAAGAGGGACAGAGAGAGCTTATAAATCCAAGTTCATTTTGGGGGCTCTGAGGTAAGACAGAAGCCAAGAATATGGACAGCATCTAAGCTGTCCCAGTCAAAACGCGGCTCCATGCATCACTGGCCCATCACTGCCAGGGCTTCAGTCTCATCCCATGGGAGGTCTGATGAGTTCTTAGGAACTCTGAGAAATCTCTCTGGGAGACAAGTCCCCCCCCCCCCCCCCCCCGGCTAGTGTCCTTTCCTTCTGCCAGCATGAGATTCCTGGGGACATTCCCATTTCTCTGGGGTCCACTGTTTCAATAGTCATGACAGTCATACTGAGAGACGGTGTGTCTCTTTAGAACGGCTTCCTTTCTGCCAGGCCTTTGCCAGAGCTTCTGGGGATTCTCCAGCCTCCACCCCCCATCTCGAAGTTTTAGTGTCGAAATGAGATTATAGAAGATCACAACCACGGCCTACTGTGCATGGATGCTGGGGATTTGAACTCAGGTCTTCACTCTTGTGGGGTGTTTTATTCAGCCCGAGAGATTCAGCTTTGTTATCCACAAAACTGTTCTACGTGTGTTTTTCAGGGTTCACAAGGGCACCTCCTCCTAGGTGTGTGTTCATTTAACAAACGTGAGTGCAGGGCATTGTGTTAGGATGAAATCAAAAGGTTTTGAGGCGTTTAGAGATTCCCAGGGATTTGTGAGAGCAATCCAAGGCACAGAAGTGTGGCAAGAGCTACCAAAACAGAAAGAACAAACACTGGGGCACATAAATAAATGTAGGTCACTGGGCACCCGTAGTCTAAGCTTTCTCTCACAAAGTAAACCTAGATTGGTTCTTTCACAGATTTTGATCTTGTGACTTTTATGAATTGGTGTGTCCATCCTTCCTACATTTGTCATGGGGGGGGGGTGGGGTTGTGCAGGACCACGTTGTTGAACAGGGTGCTGGTTCAGCATCACATGTTGTTGAACAGTGACACCTGCTGGCAGAATGTGAGATTGCAGTATAGCTCTATCAAACATTCAGAGAAAAGTTTCCGCTAAACTATGCCAGGTTTTGGGTAGTACCCAGGCTTGAAGAGTTCCTAAGACTCTGAGAAGGTGTTGATAGAGAAACAGTCATTCTGTGCAACTGGGATTCAGCTCATTTGATAGAGTGCTTAGCATCACATAAACCTGGCCTTGCTGGCATACCTGTAAACCCAGCACTTGGGAGGTAGAGGCAGGAAGATCTGAAGTTCAAGGTCAGAATCCTTCACGTAGTGAGTTCAAGGCCAGCTTGGGCTACATAAAATCCTAAAGAGATGGGGAATAATAGAGTGTAGGGTCCGAGGAGATGCTGAAGGAAGACCCCAGACTCAAATAGTATGTAAGAGCAAAGAGCACTTATCAATATCCCAGCATGCATGTGGGGTCGTTCACCAGTACAAAACGGCAAGAACCCTGAGAGGGACATGCAGATTCTTTTTAAGCACAGCTAAGGGGAATTCCGGGAACAGTTAGGTCATCTCAAATATGATTAGTTAACAAGCAGAGTTATATTAGTATATTTTTAAATGGCTGAGGTTTAGTCTTATCATTTTTGGACATACTTGCACAAAACTGAGCAAGTTCGGATGTGACTCAGAAGGGGCTGCTGGATTTGTCCTTGAGACAACGTGAGGCTGGCTCAGGCTTTGTCCCTGAATACAAGGGCATCGTGGATAAATGGCTCTTTGTGGGAGAGACACCTGTTCTGCCCTTCTCTGAGAACTGAAACCTAAACTCAGTTGTGAGAATAGGAATTTAACCCCTTCTGTGGGAATCCTGGGACAACAGCTATTGCAATGTTTGTTTTTTACAGAACCAGAAATGAGTTCCCTCTTGAGGAAAAGGCCTCGGGTCCAAACAGAAAGCAGTGGTTACTACTCTAAGCTTGGTGCCACTATTGCGCCAGTAGGCACACCTTACCTGGCAGGCCAGTATTGTAACTTCGGGATCCAGCACACTGGGTAAGACCTGTGCTTTTTCACCTCAGCCCTGCACAGAACCTTCTTGTGCTGTTCTGCACACTGGTAAGTGGTAAACAAAACAGAACAAGCCCCTGGCTTTAGAGAGTTTCCATGTAAACGGGAAAGGCTGCAATGGGATCATTCAGGGCTGGGGAGCTGGATCATTTGGTCAAATGAAGACCTGGTAAGAAAGTGGGCATAGTAGCACACCTGTACCCCAGAGCTGGAGAGGTAAAGACGGGAGGATCCCGAGGCTCCTGCCAGCCAGGCTCGTTGATCAGAGAGCTCTGGGTTCAGTGAGAGACCCTGTCTCAAAATATAAGATAGAGATTTAAAATAACACACAATGTTGACTTCTGGCCTCTACACACAAGTTACACACACCTGAACACACACACCACACACACGTGTGGACGGGCACACACACAGAGATGTACAAATACACATAGCAAGTAGCATCATTCAGACAGTAGGAGAGAGAATGAAGACTCACTTCATGGG